AGAAGAGAAGAGAAGAGAAGAGAAGAGAAGAGAAGAGAAGAGAAGAGTTGAGTTGGAAGGGACCCACCCTGGCATGATTGTGGCCACTAAGCGAGGACTGCAAATATTACATATCAAGCCCTATATAGTAGGGCAGTGTTTCTCAACCTTGGGAATTTTAAGAGGAGGTGGGCTTCTACCTGACTGGGGAATTCTGGGAGTTGAAGTCCACCCCTCTTAAACATTCCCAAGGTTGAAAAACATTACAGTAGGGGATAATTAAGGAGGCAAGAATTCCACAGACTCACATCAGGAGTTTCAGCCGAGGAATTAGTGGTAAAATGCAGACTCTAGCAAGCTTCAGTAAGCACCCCACCCAGCTTGGACTGAGTTCATCAAGGTGGAATTTCTTTTGAAACTGTTGGTATTGCTTCTTTGGGGGGTGTTGCACAACTCGGACTGAGCTGGTATTCATTAAATAAGTCACGATGGGAATCATCCCAGGACTTTACAACTGGTGTAAATATAGGTTGGCTGCTGAGCACCTGAATTTTGATCATGTGACCAGGGGGACTGCAGCAGTTGTAAGTGCCAGGACTGGGTCATAAGTCACTTTTTTCAGTGCCCTTCTAACTTTCAATGGCCACTAAATGAAAATAGTTGTAAATTGAGATCTACGTGTGCATCGCAAGAGATTTAAAACAGTGGAAAGCAACAATATCACAACCACGTTCAGTCATTCTATCGGTCAAGAATAAAACAGGTACCTGGGATGGATTGATTTCTGGTTATCACAGAAAGAGAAGCAAAGGTAGCTATTTCAACTGTAATTATTCTGCTTTCGCTAAATTTATGCTTCTGGTGCAAGGGTAACTCGGCTGATTTTGTAATTAATCTTGGCCAATTTTGTAATTAATCTGCGTCTTGACTTGGAGATTAAAGATAATCCATTTATATTCAGTCCTAGGCTGCAGATGTCTACATTTGCTTACTCAGTCCTACATTTTAGTCTGTCAATATTTACATAGCCAGAGTTTGAACCGGTATTTGCCATAAAGTCAAAGACTGCTCTTACTCTGAGCAGACACACCCTCCGTGGGTTTCTTAAGGCTTATTTTTTCATCCTGAAGCAAAAATGCTAGTTGGACAGTTTCGTGGACCGATCTGTATTTCTCCCACCGCCTCACACTTTGAGAAACAATTCACTTGCACAATTATTTGAAATTGCAGAGTAGAAGAAAGTGGCACCACACCACAGTAATATGAATGGAGAAATAGGGGTATTATTTCAGCAAAAATCATTTATCTAATGCAAGTTGGGTCTCCAACTTGGCAACTTTAAGACTTGTGGACTTCAATTCCCAGAATTCCTCAGCCAGCCACCTCTCTTAGAGAGAGAGAGACTCTTAGGATCGGATAGAATTTAATAGAATGGAAAGGAGTGGAGTGGAGTGGAGTGGAACGGAACGGAACGGAACAGAACAGAACAGAATAGAATGGAACTAGACTAGAAGCTGGAAGAGACCTTGGAGGTCTTCTAGTCCACCCCCCAGTTCAAGCGGATACATTAGATTACAGTGTCTCCAAACTTGGCAACTTTAAGACTTGATCTGTTTAGCCTAAAAAAATAAATCTGAAAAAAAATAATTTGACTTACCCAAACAGAACTCATGATTATCTGTTTTCACAAAGATGCTGCAAAAAAACAAATAAATCGGGATTATTAAACAAGGATGAATTCAGCTGTGTGCAATTTAGGGAACAAAAGGACACCATCCTCTGCAAATAGCTGTTTATCCTCTGACTGAACATTTTTTTCAAAAAAAAAAGTTGCTTGCTATCTCTCAGGGTCATTGATACCACTGAAAACTGTTCCTATTATTATTATTAACATCATCATCATCATCATCATTATTATTTTGTGTTTAATAATAATATTATTGTGGTTAATCTTTGATAAGATTCACAGCCTTTGGGGCTGGTTGGTAGCTCAACAGCTCGAGTCCTAACCTAGGACCTAGGTAGGTTAAGGTAGCGTCAGAGGATATAAGCTGTTCCAAGTAGGGTGGTTTTTTGTAGAATCAGGGTATTCAACTCTAATAAATTCAGAATTTCCAAATAGCGAGGTAGCCCTTTTGGAATTGCTCCAAGGACTCCAATTACAATTAGGATAATACACAATTGCTTTTTCCAAAATCGCTCAACTTCAATTTGTAAGTCCTGGTACTTTGTGATTTTTTTCTTGCTATTTGTCTTCAATTCGTGCATTTGCATTATTATTATTATTAATTACTATTTATTTATTAGTTGTTGTTATTATTATTATTATTATTATTATTATTATTATTATTATTATTATT